TAACGAAGGATTAGTTTGTGCAATTCTCAATACGTATACTCAATAAATCCGGAAAAAATATCATCACATCGAAGTACATTCCCTTAGCTGTGGCATGCTTTAATCGTTCCTTCATATGCAGGTGAGTGTGTTTAGTTCCGTTTAGAGCAGCTTTAGGATCACATATCCAACTAGATCGGTTAGCTGCCTATATTAGCTTAAGTTAGCTAAAAACTTAGCCGGGCCATATGCATTCTCTGACATTGCATTTCGATTTAAAAGTTTCCCTTTCATTTTTTACTATTCTACAAATAAACTTTAAAACTATTTATTTGGTGAACCCTTTTTTTGGCATCAGTATGTGAAGAAAATTGTTCGGCGGAGGTAATTTGTGTTAGCTAATAAAGTTAGCACTTGCTAACGGTTTTGTAATGATGTGTCCCCAAGTGTGACAAGCACGTAATTTAAAAAAGGAGAAAGCTATAATTTGATTTAATCCTCCCTCCATCCTTACTCAGAGCAGCAGACATGGTAGAGCCGACAACACGCAAGTTTGCATCCCTAGAAGAGGAGCTGGGCTTCTGGAAGGAGCAAGCAGAGAGATACGAGCAAAGGTACTAAAAAGGCATACAATCGGAGGATTTGCTTTTAGGAAATTACTTTCTGCAGTTATTGTTATATAATTCTTAACATGTGCTGAGCTGATATTTTGGAGGTGTTGTACATTGCTCTGTCACCAGGGCTGAGGAGGCTCAAGAGGAGCTGCAGGAATTCCAGCAGATGAGTCGGGACTATGAGGCTGAGCTTGAGACAGAGCTGAAGCAATGTGAGGGTCGAAACAAAGAGCTGCTGCAGGATAATCACCGGCTTCGCGTAGAACTGGAAAACATAAAGGTAGACAACCTTGATCTTAAGTAGGCTGTGGCACCTTAATAGAGGGACACAAGCACTGATGCTCCACTTAGTGACATTGAGGATTTGGAACAGACACACCCCACACAAGCAGCTTTTAGCCTACCAACATTCAGCTTGTTATTGCTACTGCCACTAGGAAAATTGCTGCCTGGGTATAAAGCAGCCGACTGCTATTTTAGTCAGTGGTCCATGGGGAAATAAGCATAGTGGAGAAAGTAAATGCAGTTTTGTGTTCAAAAAATGCTCAAATGTGGGGAGAGGGAACTTTTTAAAGGGTTTATTGTCTCAACGTTTAATAAAATAGTCAGCTTTTCTTAATAAAATATGAACGGCAGCTGTGTTGATTAATTCACCATGACCTTGCCAAGCTGACACTGTCAGTTTCAGTTTATTTGTTCTTGTGCTTTTTGTAGGAGAAATTTGAAGTCCAGCATTCTGATGCTTTGAGGCACATATCAACACTTGAGGAAGAGCTGGGAGAGACCAGAGCAGTTAGAGATCATCTGCAGAAGTATATCAGAGAGTTAGAGCAATCCAACGATGACCTGGAGAGAACCAAAAGGTCAGTGCTTAAAATTTGGTACATGTTCACACAGGCATATGCAGTGCCTGTTAGACTTGCCAGTATATACACAATATTGCATAATATGTCCTCTCTGCTTGTCTCAGGGCTACCATCATGTCTCTGGAGGACTTTGAGCAGCGGATGAACCAGGTCATTGAGAGAAACGCCTTTCTTGAAAGTGAGCTGGATGAGAAAGAGAACCTGCTTGAGTCTGTTCAGAGGCTCAAGGACGAAGCTAGAGGTACACACACAATCATCCACTCAAAGCAGCTTCTCAGGTTCACAAGAACTGCTGCTTTCTCTTATCACTGACTCAGTGAATTTTGATAGTTTGATTAATTCAGCAGTTTCTGTTTTTATTTATGCCCTGTTCTTCCCATCCATTGTACATCTGACTGTTGATATATAATAATTTTATAGGATATGTTTTAACTAATAACCTAGGTAAAATTTAATGGGTTTTATAAGTGTTTATGAGTCTATGCTTAACTGGTCTTCACAGACAGCTATAGGCATATATTTTAGTGTTATATGATGTGGAAATTCATTTGGTGAATCTTTCTAAAGTGTGGAACGCTATCACAGTTAATATATTGTATGTGCTTTTAATGTGCTGTGAGAAACTGAACCGGCAGTTGGTCGTCAGGTTTCATTGTGCAACCAGCGTCACCTTTACTTTTGTTTTCGATCATGTTTGCCTGCCCCATATGCCAGCTTTTTCCACAAATATAAATTACTTCTGAAAAACTATAATAGGTGGTTGGTTAGAAGACGGTTTAATTTCTGTTACTTCTGTAACTTGCGGCAGACCTTCGCCATGAGCTGGCTGTACGACAGAAGGAGAGACGTCCATCCAGCAGCCTGGGCAAAGACACAGATCGTCCTGATATGACGTTACCCTCACCTGGAAATCCTTCCATCCCCGTCACACCCTCCAAACCTATTAGTTCATATGTCACAACCCCAGCTTCCAACATCCGGAGAGGTAATATAAAACTCTGACTATCTTAATAAGTACCTCTATAC